GCGGGAAGGCGGAGTTGGGTGCGGCGTTCGTCGCGGCCTCCTGCGCCTGCGTGGCTCGCCCCTCCTCGAGCTCTCGCGCCCTGGCGCTGGCCCGCTTCTGGCGGGTAGCCCCCGCCCCAGGCTTGGCCCTCGCGTGCTCGGGGGGAGGCTCTGGCTGAGGAAGTGGAACGGGGGTTGGGGCCTTATCGTGGACCTCGAGCCAAGATGGGTCTGCGAAGAACTCACGGTTGCCCTGGGGCCCCCTGTCGGCTGGATGCCGTTCTGACGGCGCCCATCTCGCGTGCAGTCGAGTCCCAGTGGCTAGCGGGGGCGCGGCGACGCGTCGGACGGGGGCGAGGTAGGTGGGGGGGGGGGCGAGCGCGGCCCTCGATAGTTCCAAGGCAGAGTGGAAAGGCTATCCGCAATGGCACAAGCTCTTGAGCCCCGAGGCCGAACGATGTGCGGGTACCCCAGAACCATGGCATCGCCCTCGATCTCGAGGATGTTAGATCGGTGCTTCACTCTGGTAGCGACAGCGGTTTTCCAACGCTCTCATCCATGATATCATTGTCAACCTCGTCGAACATGTTAGCTGGGTCCTCGACGTTGTGTTCTGTATGGGAACGTCTGGGACTTGGGCCGGAAATCAAACGGCACTCAAGAGGCGCCACATGCAGCAATTTTCGCTCCCATTTTTGGTCTCGTCTCGAATTCGCTCGTCGCCTTGCGCGGTTTCACATGAGTATGCGCAATATTGTTCGCGGCGCCATTGCTGGTATTGCCCTCCGCCGACCTCCGCGCCCCGTCGTTGCCGCCGCGCCCGCCCCCCTTCCTGATGTCGGACGGTCCGTCGTCGCAGCCGTCGTCGTCGGGGGTCGGGTGGTTGGTGAAGTCGCCGCTGCTGCCGGAGTCGCCGCTGAAATTTGGAAGACCTGGCTCGGGCTGCGGGGGTGTTGGTCTGGTGGGGGGTCTGGGGGGCCAAGGGGCGCGAGGCTCCTGGCGTCGATGCGCTGCTCGGCCTTGAACCGCTATTTTTCGGGCGCCCTGCCAGTCGAGCCAATTTGACGTGGATTGGCCTGTCTGGTGCGCGCCTCTAAACCAGACGGCGAGGCGTCTGTTGCGAGCGCGGCGGGGTGCCGGTGAACGGGCCAACGCGCGCTCAGCAGTGGCAGTGGGACCTGTTCGTCCAGAGCTCCCTGCGCGCGGCGGGCCAGGCCCCTGCGACCTTCGGGCCGTTTTTGGTAGCACAGCGCACTGCGCCTGCAGAGTGCAATTGGCCCCCCGTCGGATGGGCCCCGCCTGGGAGACGCGCCCCAATGGGGGCTCTGAGAAAGTGTCCGCTGCGGCGGCGCCGTCGGAGAAGCGCCTTTGTGGCGAGCCGCAGTCGCCGCAGGTTGCGGTGCTCTATGGGAGGCCTGTCGCCTCTGGACAGCTGGGGGCGGGGGAATCTCAATCAAGTCATTGGCGCTGCTCTGCGCCTCGTGATGTATGAGACCTCTGCGTTCCAGGGCCTCCCGGATCTCTCCCGCAGCTGGTCGGTTTGGTTCCTGTCCTTTAGCGGGGATCGAAACGTTGCCGCCGCGCCGTGCGACCGCCACCACCTTCCCCCTATCCGCGCTAGCAGGTGGGCCGCCCGAAACCGCGAGGGACGTCGGGATATTGGCCGAAGCGACAATATACCGGACCACGCTCTGGCATAAGAATAGAAATCAATTCCAAACCGTGGGGGGCGCGAAGCCGCGGGGCGATGGGGGCATTCGGATGGAGGCGCTGCCCGCTCAAAAACGCAAGGCCCAGGTGCCGAGCGGCCAGATGCGGCGGCCTGAAGTGGTGCGTGAGGAGTGGCGGCAGCTCCATGCTGGAAAAGGCGGCGCTGATATCCCCTGTCGCTACGTGCGCCGATCCGTCGGTCTCCGCCTGACTGAGAGAGGATGCAGCGGGTGGGCGAGTGGATGGCGGGTCCCTGAACGACATGTTACAGACGCGAGTGTCGCGGATCACTCGGCCCCCCGCGTCCTTTTTGGTCGTCGCGAAAGATATTCGCCGCGAAAGACGCGACGACGGCGATGAACTCGTCGGGGGCCAGGGCCCACTCAAGCATCCCGCGATCGAGAAGGAGTGTGAGGAAGTCGGCGTAGGCATCGGGGTTATTTCTCGGGAAGGGGTCGAGGCGTGGCCCCCGCGGGCCCAGTTCCCGATGCAGAGAAGTAGCTTCGCTGACGTCCCCGAGCAAACTCACCTGGTAATCGCATGACCAATATGAATTCGAAAGACAAGATAGCTGTCGCACATGCGGCCACTGCCTGATCCGGGAGGGCAGCTGATTGCTGATTGTACGGCCTCCTTGTGGACCCTACCCCGTCGTTGTAAAATCCCGAGGCCGTGCGGATCTCGCGTGAAAATCCCGCGCCCGTCGCAAGATCGGGTGGGGGAGCAGATATGCCAGAATAGCACTGGGCGAACGTGTTGGAGCGCATCCCGCTGCCCAATATTTACAGTCGAAGGTGCGCCCCCGTCCGGGACCTCGCCCGACAACTGATTCCGACGTGCTATCCCATCGTTAGCCCAATCCCGGTAGTTCTGGGCACGTCGGCGCCGTCGCTGCTCGCTGAGGCGCGGGGGTGAAACTTTCTGCTGCCGCCTCACCTCCCGTGACAAAAAAAAGGGAGAGGGAAGATGTCGCGCTCGCGCTCCGCGCGAACAGCCCGATTACTGCAAGTGGGCCCAAGTTGCGGAGTCGCGCGAAGCGGGGTGGCGCGATCGTAGGCGAAGCTGGGGCCAACTTCAGGTCCTGGCGCGAGGCCGAGAGGTGGGGGGGATATCTACAAGCGAAACGGCAGGCGGTCTCGCAAGCCTGCTTGGTCTTGGGGCCTCCAAAGAGCGGGGCGACGGCCGGCCTGGCTCCGCTGCCCGAGGGGTCTCAACCATCACCTTTGCCGTCCTTCTTGGTCTTGTTATTCTGCTTGGCGTTCGCCCTCTCCTCGCGGGCCTTCCTGTCCTTCATCGCGGGCGCCTCCTTCTGTTGTTCGATGGGCGCCTAGCTCTGCAATGCTGGGCAGCCTGCCACGTTGCCGAGAACGCGATCGAGGCCCATGTGCAAGATGGCGTCCTGGGCGGTGTCGCCGCTGCCGCCTGACGAGCTCGGTACCCTGTCGCGATGCCGCTCCTCGCAGAACTGGGTGGCACGAGACATGATCTCAGCCCCAGCGATGTCGGGCAAGTGAAATTGGTTGAACATTGCCATCTTCTCTAGTCGACATCTGTCAGCGTATGTGATTCTCGGCCCCGCCGTCGTTGCTCTGCAGCTTCGCGTCGGCCTTCCACCTGGCATGTCGGCCGAATTGAAACTGGCCGTTGGGCGCCATGTATCGGCAGAGCCACAGCGTAGCGCGGGGCCCCGGGACTGGGAAATTGTTGAACGGCGTCTCCATCATCCCCTCGACCGCCAGGCGGAACTCGCGGAACCGCGCGCCGGACGCGTCGTGCAACGTCGGCTGGATGCGGACGTCGACGGTCGGGCACGCTGCCGCTGCCGCCGCCGCGGCGCCGCCAACGGCGCCCGCTGGGACCAGCACTCCACCATCGCCGAAGGCGGGTGGCGCCGCCGCGCCCGGCAAAGGTGCGGCCGCTGCCGCCGCGGCTGCGGCCTCCGCGGCAACCAATCCGGCCCCCCCGCCAGCGCCTGCGGCCGCTCCAGCGCCGCCAAGCGCAGGGCCGACGGCCGCTGCGAGGGCGCCGGCTCCACCTCCGACGCCTGGACTGCACCTGAACCCCAGGAGCTGCCGCGCCGCCCGCGCCTGCGGCGGACGCTGCGCCCAAGGCGCGGCCAGTTAGGTTCGGCTGCTTGTCGTCGGCTGGCACGAGGAAATCCCTCCGATTGGCCGCCGCCGCGCGCGCTGCCTGGAAGACAGCGGGCGTGGGCAAGCCCCGGAAACGATAGATGGGGAGCACGGCGCCAGCAGGCCCAAGAGGAGGAGCAGCGCTGCCACAAGCGCCACCATTCATCAATCCGAACCAGACGATGTCGGGACCTTGGAAACAGTCCTCCTCGTAACTACCCCATCGGGCCTGAGCACGCAGATGGCAGTGCCAGCCCTGGTCTCGACGACGAGGAGCCGCTCGTGGAACAGAAGCGGCCCAGGTACGTGATACCGAAAAATCTCCAAAGCCCCTTGACAAGCGGCGGCAATGCAGCCGCCATCTGTCCAGAGCCCAGTCCGCCGCTGCCAGAGCAGAGTCGGCTGCTCCTGGGCCAGGTGCCCCACGTCTGCCTCCTCGTCGATGATCGGAGGCGGGCCGTCCCCCGTGGGCGCGGGCTTGTCAGGCCGAGCCCTGGCCTGCTGGCTTGCAGCCCCGAGCGGCGACGCCCGCCGCCGAGAGGCGGAGTAGGCTCGCCGAAACCAGCAAGCTGGCGACCCGCAGCAAGGTGTGCAGGTCGACCGCGCCGTGCTCGCCGCCTGCCGGCCGCTCGGGCGCAGCCGGCGCTGGAGCGCCCGTGCAGGCCGGGCAGGCAGGCAACGCCGGTATCGCAGGGCACTGTGGGTACTGCGGGCAAGGGGGGGCTCCTGGGCTCCTGGGGCAGGAGGCGAAGCAGGTTAGCGAAGCCTCTCACGCCCAACTGAGAACCTGAAACCACATCCGAGGTCGCAGAGGGCACCCTCGAAAAGCTTGAGCCATAAGGTCGTGCGGCCCCGCTCCCATCACTCCCACTTGCTGCGTTACATCCAAACGTACTTTACACAGACCGCAAGAGGTCCTCAGAACATTTCTTTGTGGGCATCTGTCGCCGCGCCGTTTGTCCTGGACGTGCCCAGGCAGACGAAGTCAGCACCGCTGCAAACCCACGGCAGACCCTGCGCCCGAGGCGGAGTTTGCTCTGGTGGCCGAGGCGCCCCCTCAATGACTTACGGCCGCGCGTCGGAACAGACGGCGCGGCGACATGCAGGCCTACCAAGGCGCTTCGTCACAACTCGCTCGGACAAAACCCGATCCTCGTTGCGTCCGGGCCGGCCGGCGCGAGCCTGCGCTGCACCGCGCCTACGGCGGGCGGCACCAGCCCCCGCTGGGCAGCCCGGCGGCCTAGGGGCGCGGCGAAGGCGGCGGCCGACATGGCGCGGGACGTTGCCGGGGGCAGGGGGAGGATGGCTCAGGTGGGGCAACATCGAGCTTGAATCGGCGATGCATCTCCGATGGATCGGCGATGGGCCTCTGATGGCGGATCCGCAAATTCCTGGCCGGTGTGGGCTGTCAGGCCCCAGTAGCCGATGAATGGGCGATTGGAGGCTGATGCGTTCCACCTGAGCCTGCCCCCCCCCCCTGCGTAACGTTGCCCCTGAGGGACTGCCTGCGTCCCACACCTCGGGCGGATCGGGGCCTGAGGCCCTCCTCTTGTGGCCGAGGGCCCGAAAATCCATTCGGGAACCCCGTCTGGCCCCCTCCCTCTTCGAACTGCGTTGGGGGCCTCGTGGGCCGTCCTTGAGCCCTCTTGGGCCGTCTTGGGGCCCTCTCGGGCCGTCTTGGGGCCGTCTTGGGGGTCTCATGGGCCGTCCTGGGGCGATCTTTGGGGCCTCTGGGGCCGTCTTGGAGCGCCAGGAAGCCGAAAAGGCGAGAAGGCCAAAATCATACAACAACTTAGCGCAATCAGCGATTGCTGCCTGTGGGCCCTCTTGGGGTGCCTCCTGGAGGCCTCCTGGGGCGCCTCGGGGCTCTCGCGGGCCGTCGTGGAAGCCTCATGGGCCGTCTTGGAGGCATCCTGTCCGAAATTGGGGAGGCCTCTTGGTCCCTCCCGGTGCCTCTTGTCGTTGTTGCAATGGTGCCTCTTTCAGGCCCGCCTGGGCGCTCTGAGCGCCCCCAAGGGACTGGCTCTTGCAGCCGGGCGACGGGCTTCTCTCTCTCTCTCTCTCTCTCTCTCTCTCCTGGTCCCTCCGGAGCCGTCTTGGAGGCCATCTTGGCCCCTCTTGGGCTCTCTTGGGGCCTTTGGAAGCCTCATTTCGGGGGCGCGCAAACATGGCATTTGGCGCGAGGTCGCCAAATCCATGGATTGGTGGAGGTGCCCTCCCCAAAATGCGGCCGGTGCCGCCTCGCTCGGCGCGGAAATCCAGGATTCCCCATGGAGGCGGGACCCGTCGCTAATCCACGCAGCCTTGATCCATGTTTGCGATCGCCTGAGCAGGGCTGAACCTAAACGGTGTTTTTCGTTCTCGTGTTGTTTTCGTTTTCCCTCTTTTCGTCCTCCATCCGCCTTTGCCGCAGAACGAAGTCGAAACGAAAACGGCCCATAGGGGGCAAACAGACCTACCTCGCTTTTGGTCACCCTCGCTTCCAAGAGATACCAAGCGATGCCAAACTACGGCCTGTACTGGTCAGGCCGCTTGACGAGGAGGCGCGTGGTATAGCTTGGTTTTGCCTGGAAGCGAAAGCGGGGTGGGTAATTCACGCTCTGAGCCCACCGTGTAGGTCCAGCCCTGCGCCGGAGTCTCTTCGAGGCCATCTTTCGGGAGCGGCCAAGAGGGGGGTGTCCAAGAGGGGGGGGGTGCAAATCATGACCAGCGGCATGTGCGCGGCCCAGCGGGGGGGCCAGGGACGTAATGAAATAAGAAGAGGCGCCATGAAATCTGGGGAAAAATCATGGCCCGCGCCATGATATCCACCCCCCCCTAGTCATCACCCCCCTCTTTCGCCCCCGAATCAGGAGGAGGAGGAGGAGGAGGAGGGAGGAGGAGGAGGAGGAGGAGGAGGAGGAGGAGGAGGAGGAGGAGGAGGAGGAGGAGGAGAGGAGGAGGAGGAGGAGGAGGGAGGAAGAGGAGGAGGAGGAGGAGGAGGAGGAGGAGGAGGAGGAGGAGGAGGTGGTCGGGGTCTGGGGGGCCCCAGTGGAATGGGCGGTTTTGGGGTTTTGGGCGACAGATTTTTTTTGACGACCCAAAAAAAACCTGTCCTCCTACTGGGGGGTTTTGGGCGACAGATTTTTTTGGACGACCAAAAAAAAACCTGTCCTCCTACTGGGGGGTTTTGGACGACAGAAAAAAAAAACCTGCCCCCAAACAAATATTCAAGAGGTCGTCAACACATACTCGACGAATCGTCCCCAGACATTTTTTTTGTTGGGGCTATGTTTGAGCATTCCTCCTGCAGAAGGACGTGCCCGACCTAAGACTAGCGGATCGCACGATGCGCGCGCTTTCCGTCGCCTGCTCAGCAAGGGGGCGGAAGACGCGTGTGCTCTCAGAACGCAGGAGACCGCTAGCTTGCCCGTCATTCCTCTTCTCTCCCCTCTTCCACTCCTCCTCCTCGCTCCTCTTCCTCTCTGCTGCTGTTGCTGCTCCTCCTCCTCATCCGCCCCCTAGTTTCATGTCTTCTGGCTCGCGGATCGCACGCTGCGCGCGCGCTTTCCGTCACCTGGGGGTCCGCCTGCCCCCCCCCCCCCTCGAATCCCCCCCAGCTTACAGCCGACCCGTCTCGCAAGGATGCGCGGAAAGGATGCAGGGGGCCTCGGACGCCCACTACGAGGCTTTTCGAGCGGGGTGCGGCCAACGCAAGTGGCCAAGGATGGGCCGAGGAGGCAAGGATGCAAGGGTACCCTTGGGAAGGTTGCCCATCCTTACCATGCGGGATACACAAGAATCTAGCAAACAGCCTTGCGAAACCAAGGACAATTATATTTCCGGGGCTTCCTGGGGGTCTTTTTGGGACTCTTCTGGGCCGCCTTAGGGGGCTTGGGCCGTCTTGGGGCCCTCTCGAGGACCTCTTGGGGACCTCCTGGCCTTCTTCGTCCGTGGATCCCCAGGACCGCCGCGCGCGCGCGAACTAGAAACCTTCGTAAATTCTCACCGGAGATTTTAGCACGCCTCTGGCCCGTTGGGCCGGCGAGTTGTTGGCGTTCTCGCTTCGGCGCCCTCTCTTGGGCCATCTTGGGGCAGTCTTGCAAGCCTCTTGGGCCGTCTTGGACGCTGTTCAGACCAAAGAAGGCAATATGCTAAACATGCAAGTGTTCCTGAGGGAACTGGACGGGTTTCACGATTTGGAGGTCCTTTCGGGAGCCTCTTGTAGCGTCTTGAGGCCCAGGCCGCCCTGCTCCTAATTGTTTTGGTATCATCGGGAACCATGCGAGCCTGGGGTGGGTGGGCCCTCGGGTATCTACTAGGTTTGATGGGGGTGCTTGTCTTAGTACTCATTGTGCTGTCCGAGTCCTTAGCCCACAGCGAGACATTGCACACAAGAGACAAATGAGGATCGGAAGTACCAAGAAGGTACTGTCAGCCTCACGCCTGGACGGAGCAGGTGCGGCAGTGTGGCCCTCAGTGACGAGGGGGACCTGCACCTCCCAGCGCTCTTGGGCCAGAATGGCTTGAGCCCAAATGGGTTGAGCCAGGAGGAGGAGGAAGAAGAAGAGGAAGAAGAGGAGGATGAGGAGGAGGAGGAAAAAGAGGAGGAGGAGGAGGAGGAGGAGGAGGAGGAGGAGGAGGAGGAGGAAGGAGGATGAGGAGAAGGAGGAGGAGGAGGAGGAGGAGGAGGAGGAGGAGGAGGATAAGGAGGGAGGAGAGGAAGAGGAAGAGACGGAGGAGGAGGAGGAGGAGGAGGGAGGAGGGAGGAGGGAGAGGGAGGAGGGAGGAGGGAGGAGGGAGGGAGGAGGGAGGAGGGAGGGAGGAGGGAGGAGGGAGGAGGGAGGAGGGAGGAGGGGAGGAGGGGGGAGAGGGGGAGGAGGGAGGAGGGAGGAGGGAGGAGGGAGGAGGAGAGGGAGGAGGAGGAGGGAGGAGGTAGGAGGGAGGAGGGGAGGGGAGGAGGGAGAGAGGGGAGGAGGGAGGAGGGAGGAGGGAGGAGGGAGGAGGGAGGGAGGAGGGGAGGAGGGAGGAGGGAGGAGGGCGGAGGAGGGAGGAGGAGGAGGGAGGAGGGAGGAGGAGGAGGGGGAGGAGGGAGGAGGGAGGAGGGAGGAGGGAGGAGGAGGAGGAGGAGGAGGGAGGAGGGAGGAGGGAAGGAGGGAGGAGGAGGGAGGAGGGAGGAGGGAGGGAGGAGGAGGGAGGGGAGGAGGGGAGGAGGGAGGAGGAGGAGGGAGGAGGGAGGAGGGAGGGAGGGAGGGAGGAGGGAGGAGGGAGGAGGGAGGAGGAGGAGGAGGAGGAGGAGGAGAGGAGGAGGAAGGAGGAGGAGGAGGTAGGAGGAGGAGGAGGAGGAGGAGGAGGAGGAGGAGAGGAGGAGGAGGAGGAGGAGGAGGAGGAGGAGGAGGAGGAGGAGGAGGAGGAGGAGGAGGAGGAGGAGGAGGAGGTGGTCGGGGTTGGGGGGGCCCCAGTGGAATGGGCGGAGAGCAGTCCTCCAGAGGCCTTGGGAGCGGACCGGGCTACACTGCAAGAGCGCGGGCTCCGCGGGGCTCGAGCAGGGCCAGCTGTGGCCACGCGCGCACGCGCGCGCGCAGCCCCTTGGATCTGTGGCATCTTGGAGCAGCCGCGGCGGCGCGGCGGGCGCTTTTCGCCCTGGTCAGGCCTCCAGGCACAGAAAGCGAACACTCATACAGATCCAGCTTCCTCTTCCTCACTCACCCACAGAATAACGATGCTTGGGATCGATGCCAACTCTGGCACGAGGGATGGTGTAGGGAGAAGACTACATGGATCCGGCTCCCTCCGCCTCCTCCTCCTCCTCCTCCTCCACCTCCTCCATCCCTCACTCCCTCCCTGCTCCTCCTCCTCCCTGCTCCTGCTCCTGCTCCTGCTCCTGCTCCTGCTCCTCCTCCTCCTCCTCCTCCTCCTCCACTCCCTCCCCCTCCCCCTCTTCCCCTGCTGCTGCTGCTGCGCTGCTGCTCCTCCTCCTCCTCTCTCCTCCTCCTCCTCCTCTTCCTTCCTCCTCCTCCTCCTCCTCCTTTCCCTCCTTCCCCCTCCTCCCCCCTTCCTCTTCCTCCTCCTCCTCCTTCTCCTCCTCCTCCTCCTCCTCCCCTCCCCCTCCTCCTCCTCCTCCTCCTCCTCCTCCTCCTCCCTCCTCTCCCCCTCCTCCTCCTCCTCCTCCTCCTCCTCCTCCTCCTCCTCCTCTGACCCTTTTCCTCCTTTTCCTGGGAGGGCGAATGGGGGAAGGAAGGAGGTGGTTTGTGCGGCTGTCCTCCTCGGGGGGAGGAAGAGCGGATGCAGGGGAGGGGTCGGAGGCCACGGCCTCGCTGGGCAAGGGCCCAAAGGAAGCGGCCCGCCGAAGCGGAGTCGGAGTCTGACCAGGCGCGCGAGCGGGCGAGGCTCGCGCCCTCTCTCCCTCGGTGGAAAGGCCCAAGCGCCTCGGCCCGCAACGACAAAGCTTTTTGGAGCAGGGGGGCTCCACCTCGGGCGAGCCTGCGAGGTGTACCAGGCGCAGCTCAGGCAAGCTTGCGCGAGCATCGTTTCGCCGACGCTATATAGCCAATCCGTATCATAAGGATGCGCGGTAAGGATGCAAAGGCCCTGGAAGGCCATGCCAGCGTTTTTCGAACGAGGTTGGCCAGCGAAAGCCGCTAAGGATGGGCCGAATGGGGCAAGGATGCAACGGTGCGCTTGAGAAGGCTGCCCATCCTTACTATGCGGGTTGGCTGTAGCTCAGGCAAGCTTGCATGAACACCATTTTGCCGACCCTGTATCCCCATGGGTGTGGGCCTGGGCCCCACTGGCCGATCTACCCCCCCAAGGATGGGGATAGAGGCTGCCTCCTTCGGGTTTCGGGGGGTGTAGTTACACCAAACTGGGGTGGTGAGATGGTGGTAATCTGGATGGGGATGGAGATGGGGATAGGGGTCGGTTGAACGATAGTGTGATTGAAACACCTTCTGGAGGCGCACTGAACCTCCTCCGTCTCGGCCTCCGAGGGCCTGAGATGCACCCGGGCTCCGAGCTTGGCATGCCTGTCCTTGGCTTCACTCCCCTTGGCATTCATCCAAGGCTGGAAGGGATGAAGAGGGGGGGTAGGAGTGAGGAGGAGGAGGGTGAGAAGGAGGAGGAGGATGAGGGAGAGGAGGGAGGGAGGAGGAAGGGAAGGAGCATGCAAAGGAGGAGGCCATAATGAATGCAATATGCATCAACGATGTTGTCACACACACACGCACTTCCCAAATCCCCTCCTCATGAATCCCTGCAAGCATCCAGTCGTACCACAGAGGGCGCCCCACTGAACGACCACCATCTGGCGGGCCTGCCATTCAGCCGAGAGCCCCGTTTTGGAAAACAACGGCCTTGCATCTTTCTAGCGGGTAGCATCGCATGCGAAAAAGTATGGGCATACAGTTCAACGAGGTGTCAGCGGTACCCCTGTTGTGGAAACGTTCCCCGTCTGTGCAACTGTAGCCCAAACTGGCACTTCTGAACATGATATTCGGGGAAATCTTATGCGAACCTTGCTCCTGGAAGAAGAAGCACCCTCCGTCCGTGTAGCTGTTGCACACGTGTGTTCAAGTTTTCTGGTTTTAGATTTAGGGGCGGCCAAGCGATAACCCCTTTCTGGAAAAGGCGCTGCCCTCCACCCTAATACCTGCTGTAACGTTGAAGACGAATGTGCGCGGCCTCAAATCGGCAGCCCGACTATTCGAAACACCCCTTCCATCCTTGGAGCTGTTGTGCGTTTTCTGAACTCGTCTGCGCAGCGCTACAGCGATAACTCAATTTTGAACAGCCCTCCGTCCTTGTAGCTGTTGGAAAGTTCAAGCCTCGAAACCATTCATGTGAACACGTCTCGAGCGAAATGCCCGTCCCACCCTACCAAGACGTCTGGGGATGCGACAAAGACGCATCATTCAGAAGGGTAAAAGTTGGAGGATGAGGAGGACGAGGAGGAGGAATAGTAGGAGGAGGATGAGGAGGGAGCCGCCCACTCCAGGGTTGCCAAGGCCTGATTCAATCGCGCCGCCGCTTCCGACCCATGGTTTCCATTGATCGTGATGTGGCACCGTGAGGCACTGCGGCCAACGGACCAGAGTCATGACAACCGCAAAAAGAAGGGAGGGGGGGAAGATAAGGACGACGATGGTGATGGTGATAATGGTAACGGCGACCATGACGACGAAGATGCGGAGGAGGAAGAGAAATTGAGTGGACACTTCGAGCTGGCTTGGCAGCAGAAGCCCCCTTCCGCAAGTCGATCGCGCTCCTGGCCAAGTCCCCCTAATTAACCACTGCATCGCGGGCGTCAGCTTCTTTACGTCGCGCGGCTGCACCTACGTCTCTATCATGAAAGCGGTGAGCTCCTTTGTGACGCACTATGCACTAGGCTACCAAGTGTTTTTCGTTGAGGACTGCAACTTCATGAAATCTTGCGCCTGAGCCGTCCGCTCCTCTGTCATGAAAACGGTCACATTCTGCATCGTGATGTACTTGTCAACGTCCTGCTCGTGCACTTTGATATACCCATCGTTATTGTCAATACCTGTCTTGTGAGCTTCGTCGTGGCGTCCAGCGACCAGTTCAAGTTGGGAGACCTGCATCTTGAGGTTATCGAAGCCAGTCGCCTAGGCATCGGGCTGCACCTTTATGCTCGCCTCGGATTTTATCAAGATCCTGCTTGTGCACCTTCATCGCAATGTCGATCTGCTCCTTCGACTCGGCGGCCTTGTTAAGGCCCTGCGCCACCATCCGCGCCTTCAGCGCACACATGATCCCATTGATATTTGCATCATGGTGCCCAACGCGAGCCCATCGAACTTCATAACAAGATGGTCCTTGCCCTTCTGCAAGCTTCTTCATCTCGAAGAACGTCGCACCCCGATATCTCTCAGCTATCTGCACCTTCAGCACGTCATGGATCGTATCGAGATCTCTCGTGCTCTTCTCCGTGGTGCCCAACGCGTGCCAGTCGAACCTCTCGATCGGTGGATCTGCGTCGTGATGCTCTCGACCTGCTGCACGTGGTCGGCGGAGCTGCTGTCGGCGAGCTGGGGGGGCCTCAGCCTCGGCCGGGTTCCCCGCGCCACTCCCGACAGAGCTGTGCCCCGCGCGCTGGTCGGGCGCCTTCCCGAGCACTGGGGGCCAGCAGCCAGCGTGTCCGAAGCCGCGTGGGTGCAGGACCCCGCCGCGAGGCCATTGTGCCTCGCCGCCGCCGGCGGCTGCCCCTTCTCGTCGGCCGTCGGCACTGGCGCGCCCCACTGTGGCAGCCCGGTGCTGCGGCGCTGCTTGTCAAGCGCCGCTTTCAAGCCGGAGCCGCCGCCATGCGGGCGCCGAGCCCCCGGGGCGAGGGGCGCGAGGCTTGGGCCCCCCGTGGCCGGAGAGGAAGAGGAGGAAGAGCGAACGATGCAGCGGGGGCGCGTCGTCAGACTACGGAGACGCGCCCGACGGTCTGGCGCTTCTGCGCAAATTCGGCGAGAGCCCCAGGGAGCATCGGGCGG